CCATGCCATCAAGATACAAGCCGGGTAGGTCCCCCAAGTTGGTGAAAATATCTTCGAAGGACACGTCCGCTGGGCCAAAAGTGGATGGATGATTAAGGTCGGCTTCTTCAAAAACCAAATTTAGTGTCGCGTCAACCTCTTCTAATCCGTCGAAACTATCCTGAGATGGTTGATTCGGCTGGTCAGCGACCCCTTCGGCTGCTTGTTCGTCCGCTGGCTCTGAGTCCGAACCCTCAAAACCAATCTGCCTAAGGTTCTTGAAGCTCAGAAAAACAAGCGTCGTAAGGTGCTGTTCACCTCTCGGAATCGGAATGTTATCTGCGGTCGAAAAAGTAGTGTAGGTCGGCTTATATCTCAAAAGAATGTGGGTCGCCCTCCCTTATTTCTGGAGATTCGGACGGCCGAAAAACTGGAGTGCAGCTCTGATCTGTGCAAGTATAGCGTCGTCGGCCGAAACGAGAATTTTTTTCAAATCGTTTCCTGCACAAATAAAACAATAAGTACGTAGAATTTGAACCAAGTAAATATTTACTAAAAATTCGTGGGGGATTAAATGGCCACCTGGCTCACCCCTTCGCCTAGGCACTGGATCTTGATGATCTTCGCCCTCGTCGAATTCCCAGTTGCCATGAACAACGACCATGACATCATCAACACGCTTGCCAGAGCTGGCAAGCATTGTCACCAGATGATGGTCAGTGTCCTTGGCCCTAAGGAAATAGCACCCTTGCTGACTAGAGGATTTGGCCAAGGCATTGCAATGCCGAATGGCAGGGATTCCAAGGTTAAGCCTATGGCATCAGTTTAGTTCTACAATTCTTATTATTATTCGGTAAAAATTTACGTTCAGCTGAGAAGGGATTAAACCCTAATGGCGAAGGACAACCCTCAAAAGTGGATGAAGGGGGGAAACGGACTCCGCCCTCAGCGATTGATAGGAGAGGAAAAACGATTGTTCTCTCGTCAGTCATCTCCATGTCAATCACGTTCTCTGCCAAGAGTGACAGATGGATGTTGTCAAGAATAGAAAAATGACGACGGAAACTAGAGACTCGATCTGCAGAAAGAAGGGCTCTCAAATATTTCGCCACCAAAGCAAGCAAAGTGGACACTCTAAACAGCAAACAAACAAGGAAAATGAGTCGAAATGGAAGAGATAAAAACTTACAAGAAATGAGGACAATGAAGAACGGAAAGAAGTTGTAGAGGGCGTAAAGCGAGGGAGGTGAATTGACGGACAACGAGAAACCTTGTGCATTCGAAAAAGCATACAAACGAAGAGACAACATGGTTTCAAATCGTATTAAATGAATAAAGCGTACGAAGGGGCGAGAAATTGTAATCATGCCTAAAAAGAATAGGCGTTCTGACGCTTGCATTGGAATAAGGGAAACCGCCATATTTTTTGACCCTCTAAGTCCAAAACCAAACATGCTGGCTAACTAACATTAGTAGAATATTTAGGGGCAATTGTGGGGGCCGAATATATTATTACGTAGGTTAGTCGAATAACTTAAAGAAGGAAATCAAGTCATGTACTATACGGCTCTATCCTGGAAGGACAGAGGGTGAATAACCAGATCGGCCGAAGAATCAGGTGTAAACCGGGCCGAATATGAACAGGTAGCTGAATGAGCGGTTGTTCGTTGGACGAAATGTGGGCCCAACCATCAACATCAAGGACGACTATAAATAAAAAGAGTATCAGCTAAAAAAGAGGTATATGAGAATAAGTAAGACTAACTTAAGATATAAGCTACCAAGAGAGTATACATTGACTTATCCGTCAGAGTGCTAATTCCGACACCCCCGATCGGAGTGTTCATTCATTTTCAAGTGACTAGCTGAGGATCAAGAGCGTCTTACAGGATCCAGAGAGTATTTCCAAACCACTTCTCCACATTATACTAACACCCCCTCAATTTTTTTGAAATCACACTATCACCCTTTTATTTCTTAAAATCATACTGCCACCCCTCGTTTTAAAATTTTGTATAACAATTTAATCCTTCAATTGGTCAAACGTTTGTTGACCAAATAAGATTAGATGACTCCATCAATTAAATACATCTAAATGCCAAAATTACCCTCAAATGAATATACATTTCATTTTTATGGGATGAAAACTTTGCTTTGCTAGCTTAAGCTAAGTGAGATGTCTGGTAAATTGAAGGGTTTTGAGATGTTTGTTTGTTTGTGTATTTTTTTTTTTGATTAAGTTTTTAAAATTTATTTTTTGTAAAAATTTTAAAAATTAATTTTTTTTTCTTTTTAAGGATGTAAATTATTTTTAAAATTTAAAAATATATTTTTGTCGTAATTTTTTAAATTTTTTTTACAAAATAAGTTTAAAAAACTAAAGCAAACTGAGTCTTTAAATATAAATTAGAACAGTGTCCATCCTGAAGTGCGTTACATATGTGCAAACCTCCCACATATAGAGAAAATAATAAGAGAGTATGTCTATGTTTGGTTTGGTTTGATTTTCAAAAATTTGTTTCAGAATATTTTCTCTAAAAAACTAAAATTTAATTTGATGACAGAAATAAATAAATGAATAAATAAATAATACTTACAATTTTTATATAATTTTATGTTTTGAGAAGTCAAAAATAATTTTTAAAATTTTAAAGATATATTTTTGATATTTATTTTTATTAAATTAGTTTTTATTTTTTTCAAAAAAAAGAAAAGAAAATTTTTTCTTGAAAAAAAAATGACCACATTTGTGGGTAGATTAGATGAAATGTTTACCAAGGCATCTGAGGGTATAAAAGTCATTTGACTCTTCAGTAAATAGATTTGACTTGTGTCGCCTGACAATGAGTGGCAGTGTGTTACAAGGAACAATGGAGGTGACACTGTGATTTTAAACAAATATGGAGGTGTTAGTGTAATTTATTTTAATTTTAGTGTAATTTATTTTAAAAAATTAATATATTTGTGATGATTTTTTGATTTTTTTTATAAAAACACATGCAAAAAATTAGAGTTAATGAAAATAAATAATTTTTTTGACATTTTAATGACTTTAATTTTTAGACTAAAATTTTATGTTGCCAAAGGAGGAAGTTTCAACTTGTCTTCTTTTATGCTTTTTCTATTTACTTAAAATAGTTATTTCTTCAAATAAACAAATAATGCTGTGTAAATAGAATTTTTTTCCCAGAATATTCTAAAATTTTGAATTGGTTATACAATTTTTAGAAGATATATAAATGCTAACAAGTGCCTCCTATGTACTATTTAATATTAGTAAGCATGCAAAATTTTTCTTAAAAATATGTGAAAATGCTAAAAATTCATTGACTTCAATAAAAATGTATTGGTTTTGTTTGAGAATAGGTTATTTTAGTAACTTTTTAACTTTTTGGCTTACATATGAGGTAAAAAAAACTAGTATGTTTAGGATAAATTTTTGACTTTTTACCAAAAAAAGTGTAAAAAGTAAAGAAATTAGGGAATGTTTGACTTTTTATATAATTTGTTGATTTATTGACTTTTTCAGTGACGATTTAACTTTTAAACTAAAATTGTCAAATGAAAGTAAAGCATCTTGTATTTTTTAATTTTTTTAATCTTTTATTTGTACATTAAAAACACTTGTTAACTAGACAATTTTTAAGAGGAAAGTAACACTAGCCTAAACTTTGAGAGTCTTTCTCTCTAAACTTTTCTTCCTCTAAGGTTTTGTTTGTATGCTGCAACCGGGGTAGGATAGGGGGTTCTGACGACCTGTGACATTCTCTTTCTTCCTTTTACCTCAATTTCTCTTTTGTTTCCTTATTTTTTCTATTCAAATAACTTGGAAACATATTGTCTTTCCAACATTCTCTCTCCTTTTGTGAAGTGTTCTCTCTCCTCCACCTTTACTCTAGCCATGACCTTCATTGGATTCGCATTTTCTCTCTTTCTCCACCTTACTCTGGTGCCACCACTACGTCACCGCCTTTTGATCTTCCACCATCAACCTAATCTGTCGCCTTCCACATCTTTTCTGCCGGATCTACCGCCTTCCAAGAACCAGACTTGTTGCATTCCATCATCAAATCTGCCGCCATCATTGCTCAAGCATTTTGAATTTGAGGGTTTTTGTGTGTTTTTTTTTATAACGAAAAATAAAAAAATCTTTGTGGTGTGATTGTAGCTTACCTGCACAGATAGATGTAGTCTATATATTTATTTTAAACTATTTTATTGTCGAACTCTTATGATTGACTTCTGTTTTGCAGTATAAATTTTATGTCTTGGTATATATACATAACTTCTTCTTGGTGCTTCATTTGAAGATTTTTCATTTATTTTTTTGAATTATAATTTTTTCTTAATTTGGTGTAAGTTTCTTATTGATATCCGTTTGCCTAATCTTACTTTTAATAAAAATTACTTTTGATTGAGAAAAAAGAAAACAAGACAATTTTTAGAAAATAATTTTTAGAAAATTCATTTTTTTTCTTCGTATTTTAATGTTTTCAATGATTTTTTTAAATATTTTAAGTATTTTTTTTAATTTTTAAACACACCTAACACAAATACACTTTAAAAATATAATATTTGTAAAAAAAATCTTTAAAAAATATGCTAAATACCAAAAAATACAAATACAGTTTAAAAGTATAATATTTGTAAAAAAAATCTTTAAAAAATATGCTAAATACCAAAAAATGCAAAAATAATATGGATATTTAATATATTTGTCGTATTTTTGTATATTTATTAATTTTTAAAAATATTTTTTCACAAATATTTTATTATTTAGATACATCTAAATAAGATACATCTAAAAAAATAAAAAAACATTACTTAAAATTTTAAAAATATTCACTAAAAATCAAAATATATAAAAAATAAAAGAATTTAATTTTCAAAAAATTAAAATAAAAAACACTAAATCAATTTTTACCGAACCAAAAAATCCACAAAATGCGGATAGATAGATCCGCCGGGCTAAAAGGAGACAGAATTAATTAGTCTTACCTGTCATATGTAGATATGTTAATTCACACTAGTCTCCTCGTCTACTTCAAGGCAAACCATGAAGACTCTTGACTCAAGGAATTTATTTTAGAGAGAGAAACTCGTGTTAGACCTTTTCGTCTTTTTTCTCTTTTCTACACAGCTTTAGGGTTTTCCCGAGACCAAGCACAGTACACAACAATGGCGGAGATAGGCAATACCAAGCTCGATTCAGGGTGGCTAGCTGCGAGATCCACGGAGGTTGAACTCACCGGAGTTCAGCTCACCACCACTCACCCTCCCTCCTCCGCCCCCAATTCTCCTTGGATGGAGGCTGTTGTCCCCGGATCGTAATTTCCATTTCCAAATTATTGAAATTGCTTCGTTTTGTTGCTTGTTTCTTGAATTTATTGTAGTCAAAATATTATTTTTTTTTGTGAATTGATCTTTGTGGAATTATGATTGCTCATCAATTACACTAGTTTAGTATATTTGGTGTTCAATAAGCAGTTCAGTTTGATGATCGTTGGTTTTGTTTATGAATTTTTATGGAGGACATAAATAAGGTCTGTTTAGAAGCTTCAATTGAACAATTAGTTTAGGAATGGCAATGGGGGGCAATGGGGTGGATATTAATTCCCCATCCCCATTCCCCTATAATAAATTTTTCCCATTCCCCATTCTCCATGGGTACCACCCTCCCCATTATTTAATGGGTATGGATTTTCCCCTATCCACTTTAATCCCCATTTTTATTTTTTATATTTAATGTTAACGGAGGTTGAACTCACCGGAGTTCAGCTCACCACCACTCACCCTCCCTCCTCCGCCCCCAATTCTCCTTGGATGGAGGCTGTTGTCCCCGGATCGTAATTTCCATTTCCAAATTATTGAAATTGCTTCGTTTTGTTGCTTGTTTCTTGAATTTATTGTAGTCAAAATATTATTTTTTTTTGTGAATTGATCTCTGTGGAATTATGATTGCTCATCAATTACACTAGTTTAGTATATTTGGTGTTCAATAAGCAATTCAGTTTGATGATCGTTGGTTTTGTTTATGAATTTTTATGGAGGACATAAATAAGGTCTGTTTAGAAGCTTCAATTGAACAATTAGTTGAAGAGGAAGCATAAACAAAGGGAAAGACTATGTACACACCCGTCAAAGGCATAATTTCATACTATTTGAGTTATAACTAAAATAAAAAAAGAAAAGAAAAGTGATAACCAAACAGCATGTGAGTCATAACAATGATCTTATGAGTTATAATTAAAATAATGTCATAACTAAATAAGAAAATTGGCCATAACGAAAGAAGAAAATGACATAATTAGGACTGCATATGGTATACCCTTTCAAGGGGCGTGTATGGTAGAATTTTCCATAAGGAAAATTGTTTCTAGTAGTTGAAAATTATGCAAACCATCTCTCTTTATTTACAAAAAGTAGGTTCTTTGGAAATTTTGTATTTGAAAGGCTGAAAAAGGTATGATTTATGGCTGTTAAGAACTTTATTATGGATAGCAATTACAAAGTGAATTGATAATTTTGTAACACCATTATAGTTATATATGCATTGAAATTATTGAGGATGCAAAACAGCTGGATGAGTTCTTAGGGTCTTGATTAATAAATTCAGCTGGATAAGTTTTTGTCATAATCTACTTACACTGTCATTCATAGTTGGCATTTTATATTTTCTTTTCTAAATATCCCAGTTTACTTTTCAAGTAAATAGAGATTGCAGGACAAAGGTGCACATTACGAGAATGACTTGACCCTCTCTGTTCCAGGAAAATTGAGGGTAGCAAAAGAATGACATATTGAATATGTTAATTTGATTTTCGGGGAAAGGGAATACATCTTAAATAAGTCAAATATTATACTATGTCATTTGTGGAGGTTTGTTCTTTCAATGAATGAAAATATGAAATTCAAAATTGTCATTTTTCTTAGAATTTTCTTTTCTTGAGCAAATGAGAACATATAGTACTCTAGATTAAATAACAGAGCTTTACTTGGTTTAACCTTCTGTTGATCTTTACCATATGTATCAAACAAAACAATAGCTATGTTCGCCTTTCCCTTTTCTTCTTTTCTTTTTTTCTTTTACTTAATTGGGCTGGTAATTTTATTGACAGTGTTTTGGCAACCCTTGTAAAAAACAAAGTCGTGTCAGATCCTTTCTACGGGTTGGAAAATGAGTCAATCATAGATATTGCTGATTCAGGGAGGGAGTACTACACATTTTGGTTCTTTACAACTTTCAAGTGTAAGCTGGTACGTTGTACTTGCACATTATACTGATTGGTTTTTGGTTCTAGCATGGAAACATTCTATAAATGCATGGCATGTATGAGTGTGTGCATTATTGATTATGTTTGAGCTTAAACCGCTTACTTAAAATATCATTGCAACAGCCCTAGTTTGATCAATGCTACAACAATTGCCTTTATTCTGAAAAGGAGATCCCTAGACCCCCTTTTAGATTTCAGGCCAACTAGTCTTTGTAACTTTAGTTGCAAGGTAATCACAAATGCATAATGTTAATCCTTCAATACTTAGCTTTAATATGCATATGAATGGATGCATGGTCTCCTATGAATATGTAATTTTCATCTTCTAGCTTGATTGCAATTTCGCTTAATGGGTTAGTGCTTAGTACTTAATAATGCAATTGAGGTCAAGTTTCTCCAGTTTGCATGTCCATATTGACAGTTCCTGTTTGTCTTTATTTTTAGCTGTTTTTTATTTTTTTGTTATATGTCTATTTAAATTTCCCAACCTTCTTTTAGTCAAGAAACCAGCATGTGGATCTGAATTTCCGGGCAATTAATTACTCTGCGGAGGTGTATTTGAATGGCCACAAAAAAGTCCTGCCAAAGGGGATGTTTCGAAGACATTCTCTTGATGTCACAGATATTCTGCATCCTGATGGTGAAAATTTGCTTGCCGTTCTAGTTCACCCTCCTGATCATCCTGGGAGGATTCCTCCTGAGGGGGGCCAAGGTGGTGACCATGAGGTATACTTCTATTCCCCTGAAACATAATGATGAATTACCATCTGTTATTCTCCAACTTTCATTGAATCTCACCTAGTGTGAGACTATGTGAGTATATGGTGACATTCAGAAAAACAATATTGAAAATGTGTAAAATTTAAAATGCTGAGGTAAGAAAAAATGAAATACAAGTTACATAGTTTAATTGATGACGTATGTTCTTATATTGTGGGAGGTATACTATGTTGACATTTAAAGGTTATATGGAAAGAAAAAAGCAAGTGATGTTTATGGTGTTGTTCGTCTAAAATTAGGGTGAATGCAAAGAAAGCTCGGTAGTGGTGAAGAAGTTTAGGTGATGCAGTGCATGCATAACAGATAATTATGTGGTAGCCCGAGAGCATCGGAAGGCCTAATATGGCCAGCTCATTGGACTGTTTTCACCTTCAAGCTCAGAAAAATTCTCAAGACCCATCTCGAAAAGGTTTCAACAACATCCAAAATTGATGACTGCCTCCCTAGACCCCACCATTTTTAGGCACTTTTATGTTTTAGGTAGTTTTATCATTTTTGGTAAACTTTATCTCGTCTTTGTTTAAGGCTATTGTTAAGCCTTTGATTTTTTTCAATTTAGGGTAATTTCTTATTTTCTCTTTTTAGCAATCCTAAGGCTTTTAGGATTTGGTTTTCTATATAAACAAGTATTGTAATGACTTTCAGGCAAATTTGGTTGGATAATAATTCTTGAGCCGTTTTCAATTTTCCATGTTTTCAGTCACATTTTTTCTTGGTATTGTACAGAATCAACAAGGCTTCGACACCCTTGTTTCTGGTGTTCTGTGACAGAATCAATAGGTTAGGGGAAGGGTTTCACTACTTAGTCCGTCGGTCTTATTTCCTACACGCTACTATGCATTAGCTGGTATCAGAGTTTGCAATCGTTCCTGCACCATGCCACCAAGAAGACCTATTGGTGCTTGGGAGTTGGGACTTGGGAGGCTCCTGTGAAGGAGGCGTACAACCGTGATGGCGTTGCATGTTTAGCACAACAGGTTGAGGGATTAAAACATCAAGTTGTTGCGTTAGCCAACAAGCATGTTCCCTTAGTCGCTACTAGATTTTAGGGACATGCCACATAACTATACAAGATTGTCATACCAGCAACTGCAGAACTTACGCCAAGGATCGCAGATTGTCGATGATTACATTGCAGAATTTTATCAATTGGTGGCATGGATTGACCTTGCAGACGGGAACAATTTGGTGTCATGGAGTGACCTCGTGGAGACTAGAACAATTGGTGTCTCGATATATTGGTGGTATGTGGTCACAATTTCAGGACATGCTTAATCTGTTGATCCTTATTCTATTTTGGAGGTGCACTAGTGGGCACTACAATGGAAAAACAACTCAGTTGCAAACTTGAGGGAAACATAGGGTGCAATGTTAAAGCTTTTAATTGCTGGGAAACAAGTTCAACTATTTGGGGAATACAGCCTATTGTGGGAAAACTAGCAGGGATGCAGCCTAATAGAACAACTAATACGCATTTTGGATCACATTGCTTTAAGTGCAAGGAATTTAGACATAGGATAACTGATTACCAGAAGAGTGTTAGTATTGGGAAGGCCCTATTTGTCGATAATGTATTTGTAGGTAATGAAAGATTCACAAATTCACAAAGGATGACCTCAATGAATTCGAACAAGACTCTAATTTTGATGCTTTCATAGAAGTTGACTTTGGAGAAGATCTTTTGATCAGTGATCAAAAGTTGTTACCTGGCTACGTCCACTCCTTTCCTCCGTACTGGCGTTAATCCACTAATCAAATGGATTAGTGAAGAAACCTAAAACATTTACATCCACTTCTTCCAGGGTTTTCACTGAGACAACCCCCAATTCTCTACAACAAACATACTAGGTTTAAGCTCACTCAAAACCACAACATCCACAACAAAAGCCTAACACTTAACTAGATTTACAAAATCTAGAAAATGGGCTTCTTAGGGGGAACTGATACTCTTGGCCCCAATGTAGTCTCTATGTGAAACACGTGTGGTGTGCCTCGTAATAGTGTATAAGCTACACTAGAGGGATGAGTATAATATAATACCTTCTACAAGCAAAGAACTCCGAGTCTCCCATGGAGCTAGCTATTCCAAGATTTATGTTGAAGGTATCAAGATGACACTTTCTATCTCGAGATGTGTATGAAGGTGTAAAAAAGTTGGTATAGCTCTAGGTGCCTTTCTTTCATTAGAAAACTCCAAATGGGAGTATTGGAGCATTTATAGCTGAGCCTCCAATGAATAGTTGACAACTAGTTTTAGCCTCTCTCTCATCAAAAAACTCTAAATGGGAGTATTGGAGAATTTATGGTCAAAACTTCAACTAGTTAACAACTATTTTTTGGAAGTTTCAAAGTGTGTCGACCATATGTTGTTGTCTAAGAAGTACAAACACTTCTAAAAAGGTGGCGTCTCCATGTCAAACATTGGCACTCGTTGAATAAACATCAACACTCATCGTTGGGCATTTCCCGACATGTCTTTGACACTCATCCAAACGTCTCATTTTTAAAATTTTGTTTAGATCCTAACACGCTTCTAACATTTGGAGGACACACATGTCCTTCACTTAGACATGCGTGAAACTAATTATAAATTTTAACAAAATAACTTAGGATACAATGATAAAAGAAAAAAACTATAAATTTATAGGAATTAGTATTATGTTACATTTTTTTTGCCCCTTATTTTTGAATAATATATTCAAATATATGACATATATAAAACTATTTAATTTGTGTATGTCCCTCATGTGTCATGTATAGCATTTTTTGAAATTTGCCGTGTCCGTGTTTTGTTGAGTGTCTATGCTTAGGTTGTTGTGGTTGACCATCTGCCTTGATCACATCCACTCAGTTGGTCAACCATGTTGTGGTATGCCCACATTGGGCTCCAAGTACTTTCCATTTGGTCGACTAAATCCATTAGGATGGTGGACGATTCTGTGGGACTTTCCTAGACTGCTCTCTAGACCTTTTTATGGTTGACCACACTCCTTAGCACATAAGCTTATTCAACTCCGTTTATCCTAACTTGATTTTTTCCTTGTCCATGGCCTTTTTCATGCAATGAAGCTCTTCCATGGCACTCTAATGTAGGACAACTTGCTGGATTTTAAACAGAGGCTATTTAAGCGCCAAAACAGTGTGTAATTTAGGGTTTTAATGGTTAAATTGAAGGCTCGTAGTTAGGAGATGGGATTAGGGTTGATTTGGGGTGATTGAATATGGTTTTGGGGCTGAAATTGGCACTTTTTGAGAGCTATGAATAGTAACTCAAGAATAGTAACTTGGGTATGTGCCCAAAGAAGAAGAAAGAGAAGAAGTAGAAGAGGAGAGAGAAAGAGGTGCTTCACCCTCGCAAGTGTTAGGCCAATTACACACAAACTCAATTTCAAATTCTCATAATATCAACTTTTCATTGACTAATTAAAATTACACATTTATAAGCTACAGACTCCTATTTCTATAACGACTATGACTCAAATTTGGAAACTAGGAATATTTGATAACTATTAGGATTCCAAATAAAATTCAAATAACAATACTTGACTCTCAAGACGATCCATGGACTATGTCCTGTAATTATTGAATTTTCCATAGTGCCCCCAATTGGTAATACCTATTATAATAACATAAATCTGTGTAGTGACGTAATAAATTATAATAAATACAAATAAAGACTCAAAATTAATCCAAAATTTCAATCTTTGATGCCCTAAACATGTTTCATATGAAATTTCATATTTGCCTTTTTCTTCTTTCTATGATCTTCATCACGCTCCTTTGACGCCATTGGGGATCTCCCATGACATTAAAGCTTCCAAGGTGATGTAGGCAGTCCAATGTGCTCTCTTCACAATAGCGGTCTAGGTTCTACCTAAGGTTGCACATACAAGTCATAAAATTGTCAACCTACTAGTACTAACACTACAGCTGGGGCACTCCAGAACACACAATTCTGCTGAAAACTAATGATACACTAATAGATTATTTATTTGTTTAGTTTTCCCCTTTTTTGAGTTTACAGACTATACTCTCATTTCATCTTGTGTTCATGTCAGATTGGCAAAGATGTTGCTGCTCAATATGTTGAAGGATGGGACTGGATGATTCCTATTAGGTAATTTATTGCCCTGATGTCATGTTGTCACCAGGTATCACAATTGTAAAGCATAGAGAAGATTAATTATTTTTAAATATGTCATCTAGTTGTCATTTTTTCTACAAAAGTGTGTCCCTGTGTATCTTATCGTGTGTTTTTTCCTTTTAGCAATCCATTTGTGAACACCATTTATAATTTGACTAAATGGAAGCATCACTTACTAGGGTAGCAATTTTTATATTGCCACAGGGATAGGAATACTGGCATCTGGGATGAGGTATCAATATCTGTTACTGGGGTGAGTTTATATTAAACTTTGAAATGCATAATTTCTTTCGACTACCTTCTCCATGTGGTTGTTCTATCTCTTTATTGGCACTTGAAATTCTACACTTGTTAAACAAGCTAATCAGTTCAAGCTGTAACCTTGTTCAATATTAGAGCAACTGATAAACATCACATCAAGTATTGATGATTGTCATCTAGATATAAAAGCATGACCCTTCTGATTTTGGCCGTTTATAAATGTACATGCTTGAAGGAAATGTATAATATTCCTTTTCCTCCTTGATGTTTTATATTTTTAATGGAATGTACTTTTTCTTGTGCTTGTTTTAAACAAAAACCATTAAGTAATCATCATTACTTCTAAGTCTACAATAACATTTGTTTTACAATAATTTGTAAGAAAATTTCAATTTTTTGATTTTACTGCATTATCATTTGGTGCAGCCTGTGAAAATAGTGGATCCCCACTTGGTTTCATCATTCTTTGACGATTACAAGAGGGTATATTTGCATACCACCACTGGGTTGGTAAATAGAAGTGCCTGGGTTGCTGACTGTTCTTTAAACATTCAAGTAACAACGGAACTTGAGGGGAGTATTTTCTTGGTAGAACATCTTCAGACAGAGCATGTGTCAATCCCTCCTGGAGCATCTGTTGAGTATACAATTCCTGAGGTCAGTGTCATATATGTTTCTGCTGATCTAAGCAGACAAAAATCTTCTTGTATTTCTATTAAGTAAATGAACAGTTCAGGAAAAGTATATAGTGTTTTCTTGTTGTGGTTGTTGTAGTCACTTGTATATTTTGTCACATAACTGCTCCTCAGCACTTGACATGGGCATAGAACTATTTTGTGAATAACTAGTATAAATTTTACGTGCAATACCCCAGTTCAAATGTTAATGATATGTTCTCACAGCTGTTCTTCTACAAGCCCAATTTATGGTGGCCAAATGGCATGGGAAAGCAATCCCTCTACAATGTTGGAATTAGTATTGATGTAAAGGGATTTGGAGTGTCTGATTTGTGGAGCCATCATTTTGGTTTTCGCAAAATTGAGAGCCACATTGATAGTGCAACTGGTGGGAGGTAGAATTCATCTCTAAATTTATTATTCATTATTTCCAAGGTTCTATATGTTTCTTGTAACTTGTATTTTTTTCTACTTTGTAGATTGTTTAAGGTCAACGGACAGCCGGTTTTTATCCGTGGAGGTAATTGGATATTGTCAGATGGGTTACTACGTCTTTCAAAGAAACGTTACAAGACAGACATCAAGTTTCACGCAGACATGAACTTCAACATGATACGCTGTTGGGGTGGTGGACTGGCTGAGAGACCAGAGTTCTATCATTACTGTGATATTTATGGTCTGCTGGTTAGCTCTCTTTCTCTGTGTCTTGGTGGGTGGTGTTAAAACATAAATGCTTAACAATAGCCAAAACGTATATGCTTAACAGGTGGGTGGGTTTTTTTTTTCTTCAATTTTTTCGGAGGTGTTTTTGGGGGGTTTGGGTTATGGGGAGAGGGCGATTAACTTGGTAACTCTACAACATCAAAGATAAAGTCGTGAAATTCATTGATGTCTTCCTTCATATTGTGGACATCTGAATTAATGAACTTCGCAGAATAATCTGTACATACCAACTTCAAGGTACGATTATGGACGGCCTAAAAAAATGATTTACGCAGAAACATTAATAATCTTTTCATCCATATAAATCTTTTTATTAAATGATGTTTTCTAAATTGTTTAATATAAAAATGAATATGGTAAATGTATTTATATAAAATGTACTAAGACCGTCAATATTCAGTTTCAGCTGTATTTTAATGATTGTGATAATTGAATCTAGTCCGGGGATGATAAAAATAAGAAGGGCCATTACCTAGTGTTATTTCCACCCAAGTGTGGTGCTTGATGGGCTGGATTGAATGTAGACCTAACCTTTTGGATTACTTGCACAAAGTGGCTTCTCTCACCCTTGAAGGATGCATTCTCACTTGAGCATAAAATCACCGCTAGACCCAAAAGTTTTAGCGATTAGAAAATGGGTCCAACTATATATATCAAGCTATCCATTGCATGTGGAGATGCGAATAGAGAAACATAATGCCAACAAGGAACAAATGCAAACGGAAAGACTTGAACACAAGATCTCATCCAACCTGAGTTATAGTACAATATTAATTCACCACTAGTCCCAAAATTTTAAGCTATTAGTGTTAAGTCACCATCTGTTCCAAAAGCTTAAGCTATTAGGAAACGGGCTCAACAATGTATATGAAGTTATTCAACACCCGCCTTCACATGCAACCCCATGTTGCACATGGAGATGCAAATATCCATACATAGAGAGAAGAAAGAATGCAAATGGGGACCAAATGCAAACGGAGAGATTTGAACTCAAGACATCTCCAAAACCTAAGTTCTGATACCATCTTAAGCCAACAATTGTCCCAAAAGCTTAAGCTGTTAGGAAACGAGCTCAATAATGTATATCAAGCTATTCAACAATTAGGAAATAGATTATGGGCCCAACAATTTATGGCAAGCTATCCAATAATTGCAACTAGCAATAGCTTGTTTTTAGGATGATAAAAATGATTTTGTCATAGAATATTGGCATGAAAGAGTTGCGTGAACATGATAAAATTGGAGTTATGGTACTAACATAGGTCATGTCATACAAAAAAGTAAATATACTAGCTGCTTGTTGCTTTTGGATGCCTTGGTAAGAATTTTGTGGTACTTAATATATACATACTGTTCTTCTTCATAGTTGCATTTCCAATGTATGAATATGATGTACTATGTGGAGGTTGAGAATCTTGAGCTATGAATCATTTTAAAATCTACAAATGAATAAGTATTCACACTTGAGGTAGGATATTTTTGTCTTGGAAGTACCTGAAAAGAGATGTAGTGATCATAGTTTTGGTAAAACAAGGGCAGAGATTAGACTGTCCTTGTAGATTCTTCGGCTGATATTGTGTTATTGAATGAACATTGTTGGCACATAAATTTTAAACCAAATTTATGTTTAAATTTCAAATACAGTCAATGACACACATAGAGCCTACGATAAGATTGTTGTAGGCAATCACTTCCCAAAATGATTAACTTGCTCCGTTGAAGTGTATAAATAAAACAACGTCGTATCTTAACGACGTTATTCAAGATGCTCAAATGACACGTGGAGCCTACGAAAGATGACACCTATAGAGCCTACAGCAAGGACACCACACAAGATGAAACCCCAAAGATCAATCCGGTTAATCAGATATACGATTCATCAGATAGCGCTGTTATTCAAAATTTAAATGGCGCTATCATTCAATTTGAAATTCAAATTGAAGATGAACCATTCCTATCACCTGATGGCCCTCCATAACTATGAGGACCATCACACAAGACGGGGGGAAGAAAATCAGAAGTGAAAAGATCAGAGAGAGAGAGAGAGAAAGAAATTGAGAGCTAAACAAATCGTTACAAGAAAGAAGAAGAGAAGCCTAGAGAATTCAAGAGCCTACTCTAATGGCGATGAATAGGTAAAGGGTTAGAGAGAGAAAGAAATTGAGAGCTAAACAAATCGTTACAAGAAAGAAGAAGAGAAGCCTAGAGAATTCAAGAGCCTACTCTAATGGCGATGAATAGGTAAAGGGTTCCAAACCCAAACTGTATTTTGTATTCGAGGGTTCAAAACCCATAATAATCTCAATAAAATATTTCTTTTTTTGAAAATTGTCTTTTGTTGGTTATTTTGTTCTTCATTAATCGGAGGTTTCATTTGTATAAAATGTGTAATTAACGATCTGAAATACAGATCGGAAATAAGAACCTGCTATTCAAATAATCAACACTGTTTAGTCAAAAAACTAAACAGTGGACATTTGTAACATAAAATTTTGAAATGTGTTGAAACACTTCATGTTTTAAAATTTGTGTCTACAAATTCTAGCACGCCCAGTGGGACTTATTTCTTCTCCCATCTTTTGAAGAATAAAAATATATATATATATAGTTGAAACTTACTGACGTATTCTTTTGTTATAGGAATGCTGAAGCAACTGTCAAGCGACAAACCTATACTCCAGTGGTTCTGAAATCACCAAGGGTAGAGATAGCACCCATCACCCAATGGGCTCCGGAGCGAATGCTCTTGGCTGTCCCAAAGGTAGAACCAGCGAAATCCTGGAAAGATGCACTTCTTTTCCCTATCACCCAAGGGGCTCCGGAGCAAAAGCTCTTGGTTGTCCTGAAGGTAACTGGTGTGACGAAGAAAGTCACACTTCTCCAGAAAGTTGAAAGTTTGAAAAAGATTACCGAAGATTATGTGAAAGCGTTAAAGTAGTACGCAACCGTGAGGGCCACAGCCCGAATGAAGAGCTTTCTAATTCAGGCAAAAGAGGCTAATCAGTTTGCAATTACGACTTTTGTTACAGCTTCAACGGGGGCAACGAAAAATGTTGTGGCCCAACTACTCAAAAAGGTAGAAGACTCCATTAAAATGGTGGAGTTTGCCTAGAAGAAAGCCTCTGCTGAAAACATGGCCATCATTAGGGCCATTGGGAGGAGGGTGATGACCCAAACTCCTGTTGATGGAAAAAAGGCCCCTGTTGTTGAAAAAACAGTTTCGGCCTACGAACCGATAGTTCTGTTCAGAGCACAAAATCGGTCAAACCAAATCTCAGTCAATTCTCAGGAGCCAAAGGAACACTCGTTGGCTCAACAGGGTTCGAATAAGGAACACCCGTTGGCCCGACAAGGTTTGAATAAGGAACACCTGTTGGCCCAACGGGATTTGAATCAACATCAATTGATCCGCTCTAAAAATGTAGGGATTGTTCATGAGGAATTTGCAGAAACGCAAACGGTTCCTTCTATGCCCTTATGGGCTCGACTTGATATGTCATCCGCTCCAGTTTCGAAAAGACAAAAGCGAAGAAGAAATAAGGCCTTAAAGAAACTAGAACTAAGAACAGTGGCAACAAATGTTATAGGAGCTATTGAAAGGGCTTTCTAGAAAGATGAACCCCAAAAACAAATTGAAAGTCCGGTCTTTGTTGGAAAATCCAAGGTGGAGGAGGGTAAGCAGCCTATGGGAAATATTTCTACTTTGGTTGAACTATCTATGGAGGGAATAAGAAAAGGGCCTGTAATAAGGTCCATAACCCGTCAGGCTCAAAACAAAGCATTGCAGTCTGATGCTTCAAATATGAGTAATGTTGTGGGGGTTGATAATCTTTTATACGAACAAGATGATTCTATCTCGTTTGTTTCAACGAATATTGGAAACAATGAATTGAAAGATATCAACAAAGTCGCAGTTATGATGATTGAGGTTGAGAAAGAAGGTGAAAATTCGCAGGTCCAACAAGACCAAGGTCTCAAGGAAAAAGTGGTGGCCCTACAAGAACAACTCGAGAGAAGAGAATGGGAAATGGCTGCTATGTTGGAGCAAATGCAACAGTTGCAGGCCCAAATGACAGGACCAGGAAGTGCACCCAAACAAATGACACAACCTGTTGTGGGGACATCCGTAGGCATACAAAGCACACTAGCCCCAGGGGGCAATAGTCCTTGTTACTCTGATCTAACGAGTGGTGGTATGAATCCAATGCTCATGGCCATGATTGATGATATGGTGAGGAGACAAGTAAAGAAAGTTAAAGAAAAAGATGATGAGAATTTTCGAATAATTACAAAACCTTACCCAGCATGTGTAGATGCTGTTCCATTCCCTTCTGGTTTTTCCCAACCAGATTTCAAAATGTTTGATGGAACAGGAGATCCAAGACAACATGTGGCTCATTTTCTTTCAAGGTGCGGGCCAATAGCCCATAATGAGGCCCTGTGTCTGCAGCTATTTGTTCAGTCACTTGAAAGTTCTGCATTTACTTGGTATGCTAACCTTCCTGAGGGATCAATCCAAAATTGGGATTTCATGGTGAAGGAGTTCCTTAAACAGTTCTGCAACACACAAAGGCGAGTTGGAGTACCAGAACTGATTGAGACCAAGCAACGTGACAATGAGTCTGTTACAGATTTCATTGCAAGATGGCGAGCTTTGACATTTGCTTGTCCTCAGAAGTTTACGAATTAGAGTTAATTCGGATGTGCCTTAACAACGTCCGACATGAGCTCTCTACGGCTCTTATGGCTCAAACTTTTGAAGGATTCAATGATCTATGCACTAAAGCTCATGATATGGAGCTGCATCTAGCTAAACGAAGGAGGCCTAGGACCGTTGAAAGGGTTGAGTCCTCGACTGCAGCTACAATTGAAACCAGAAAGAAGGGTCTCGTTGTAGTAGGGGCTAAAAAGCCCAAAGAATTTAAAAATGTTACTATGAAAGAGAGGTTGGAGAAGAAATA